CCATGGGAATGGAACCCTTTTTGTTCACAGAACAGCTACTACCCAGGATGTGCTGTAGTATTTATTCTCATTTCCATGACCTCTCTTCCAAGTCAACCTCTCCTTTCCAATTTATATTTCAGCTGGTGGATTAAGGTTTGATTATCCCTTAAAGGCCTTGGTAGCTGTGGGAAAAAAGCCTTGGGAGACTATTTTTAAAGCAGCCTGAAAAGACTCCTGGGAAACAAGACCACAGAGTTACTCCATTCATGCAATTTCTGGCCCTTGTAAGCTTTTGGTGTCCCTGCTCCAGCCTTTTTGGTGGCCTGCATTAAGCGATATGCCCTTGCTTCCAGAAACAAGGAAGATATAGATGGTGTTGCTGTTTAAACAAAGGCAACAGAGTGAAGTGGTGAGAAAGCTAACCTTGAGGTGAGGAAGTGCTAGGCTTAAGGCCTGCTTCTGGCCCATACTGGCTATGTGAGCTTGAGCAATCTCTTCACATCTCCTGGCTTACTTTCCTTCCCAGTAAAATGAGTGGCTAGTCCTGACGAACATTTAGTTCCCTTCTTTCTTTTAACTGTATTTATTGTGCATCTATTTTCCGAGATAATTCTGGAGATCTGCAAGTTTTAGGTTCTTCCAAAGTGGTATGATCTATGAAGAGGTGGGTTTACTACTTTTCCGGTCTGTGCTCTGGTCTGTGACTGACCATGAGCATTCTTTTCTACCATGGAACTGTGACTAGGGTCCCAGTTCCCTGAGGCTGCAAGCTCTGATGTGCTAGTGCTTCTACTTGCCTTGAGACTAAGAGTCAGGGCCGTGACACTGATCCAAGTATGGATAATGCTCCTGGTGCCGGCAAAGGGACTCCTGTAATCTCCTTCTGATTCCCTTACTGTCTGTGGGGCTGAGACGTCCAGAAACCACCACTGCGCCCACTGATTCAGTCACTCTCAAGCCACTTCTGGTTTGCTGGTGACCAGTCTGTGCTGGATTGCACTCTACCCTCACCCCAGTGCAAAAGACTTTCCTGCTGACTTTTTAGGTTGTCTTGAGCTGGAAAATTGTTTCAGCCTATCCTTCTGTGGGTTCTGCCACTCTAGAATTTGCTTTGAAGCATTATTTAATATTGTTTGGAGAGGTTTTGGGAAGAGTTCAGACAATTTCCTGCTTTTTCTTTGCCATCTTGGTTCCATACCCCAAGTCTCTTTTTTTCACTTCTTGTTCTTGGTTTTAGATAAATGCCATTCATCAATTTGAGGAAAAGTTCCACTAATTCCTATGCTTTCTAGTGTTTTTAATAGGAATGAGTGTTATTTTGTCAAAGGCTTTTTTCTGTACCTATTGACATTTTCATCTTATTTTTGATGTTTTTGTTATTGATATGGTCAATTATGCTGAGAGTTTTCCTAATATTTAACCATTCATGGTATAAATCTCACCAGGTCATGGTGATGCATTTCTGTAATCTTCTTGCTAATACTTTGTTTAAAATTTTTGCATCAATATTCACTAAGGAAATTAGCCTATAATTTTCTTTCTCTGTTTTTCTCTCCCTGGCTTAGGTATCAAAACCATATTTGTATCATAAAAGGAATTTTGGAGGATCCCTTCTTTAGCTTTTTTCTTTTCCAAAAGTTTGATTACTATTGGAATTAAATTGTTTCTTAAATGTTTAATATAATTCACTTGTGAATCCATTTGGTCCTGGAGATTTTTTTTTTTAGGGGGTTCATAGATGGCCGATTCAATTTATTTTTTCTAAGATATCGTTACTTAAGTATTCTATTTCCTCTTCCGTTAATCTGAGCAGTTCATACTTTTTATAAATATTCCTCCATTTCACTTCTTTTGTCAGTTTTACTGGTATATAATTGGGCAAAATAATTCCCAATAATTACTTTATTTTAATCTTTGGTGGTACATTTGCCTTTTCATTTTTGATGCTAATAATTTGGTTTCTCTCTTTTTTTTTTTTGTAAATCAAATTGAGCAATGGTTTATTTATTTTGCTGTCTTTCTTTCATAAAACCAGCTCTTAGTTTTATTTATTGGTTCTTTTTTTTTTTTACTTTTCAATTTTTTGATCTTTTCCTTGATTTTCAGGATGTCCGTTTTATAATTTAGTTGAGGATATTTAATCTTTTTAGGTTTTTATTTTTAGTTGCATACCCAATTCATTGATCTGATCTTCCTCTCTTTTACTGATGTATGCATTTAGAGTAACACATTTTCCCCTAAGTGCTGCTTTAGCTGCATCCCACAAATTTTGAATTCTCTTTAATGAAATTAGTGATTGTTTCTATTATTTGCTCTTTGACTCACTCATTCTTTAGGATTTGATTGTGTATTTTCCATTTAGCTTTTAATGTATGCATCCATGGCCCTTTATTAAATGTATTTCTTATTGCATCATTATCTGAAAGGAGTGCATTTAATATTTCTGCTATTTGGCATTTAGTTGTAAGGTTTTTATGCCCTAATAGTGATTTTTTTTTAACATGCCATGTACAGCTGAGGGAAAGGTATACTTCTTTCTATTATCATTCAGTTTTCTCTATAGATCTATCATATCTAACTTTTTAAAATTGTATTCATCTCATTGACTTATTATTTATTTTATGCTTTTATTTGCCTAGCTCTGAGAGGGGAAAGCTGAAGCCTCCTACTATTATAGTTTTACTGTCGATTTTCTCTTGTAATCCATTTAAGTTTTCCTTTAAGAATTTTGATGCCATGCCATTTGATACATATATGTTTAATAACAATATTACTTTATTGCCTGTGGTTCCTTTTAGCAATATGTGGCTTCCCTGCTTATCCCTTTTAATTAAGTCTTTTTTTGTTTTTGTTTTGTCTGAGGTCATAATTGCTACCCCTGCCTTTTTTTACTTCAGCTGATGCATAATAGATTCTGTTTCACCTCCTTATTTTATCTGTGTGTGTGTGTGTGTGTGTATGTATGTTGCAAATGTGTTTCTTGTAACCAATATAGTGTTGAATTCTGGTTTCTAATCTATTCTGCTGTTTCCATTTTAAGTTATTCCCATTTGTATTCACCATTATGATTACTAACTGCATTTCTCTCCACCCTATTTTCTTCTGTTTACCCTTCCCTCTCTTTCTTTTTATCCTATCCTTTATCCATATCCTGTTCACCTTTTTATGCTTCTTTTGGGTCTTGCATTTGAAATTCAGATTTTCTATTCAGCTCTGATCTCCTCATCAGGAATGTTTGAAAGTCCTCTTTTTCATTAAATATCTATTTTTTATCTTTTAAAAAGCTAAGCTGTTAATTGTCTTTTCATTATTTTCTTCCTTTGTTTTCATTTTTAATACCTAATATTTGCTCTACCTCCATTGTTTTTCTTTTTGGGGGGAAAAATATGCCTTCCAGGAATTCTTGTTGGACTTGTATCCAATTCACATTTTTCTTTGAGGCTTTGTTTGTAGTTGCTTTGACTTCATTGTCTTCTAAGTTTGTGTCTTGATTTTCTATCTCACCATAATATCTCTTTATGGTCACTTTTTGTTGTTGTTCACTTATTTTTCCACCTTATTTCTTGATATATAACTTTATGTTAATGTGGGTCTCCATTGCCAGCATGGAAGAGGGGTCTGCGCTCTGTCTAAAGCTTCAAGCTTTTGCATGCTGCTGTTGTCAGAGCGACTTCTGGAGTTTCAGAACCTTTCAGTGCTTCTGTCACCTCCACTTAGTCTCAACACTGGAATTTCATGCCCGTGGACTCTTGTATGTCAGATATGTCTCTTTCTGACTTCCTATGTTGTCTCGGACTGGAAGAATGCCTCCCTCTGACCTTTCGTTGGCTCTGTCGCTCCAGAATTTGAGTGGAGGTGCTATTTTCAAGTTGCCTAGAAGGGAATGTTGAGAGAACTCAGCTAAATGCGTATCTACTCCACCATTTTAGCTCTGCCCCGGAATGCCTAATGAACTACATTCTAAGCCTCATCTCCATACACAGAAGAAATGCTTGTATAGATGTTGAATTTGGGTCCCGACAGATGATATGATTTTAACTCCATATTTTTACAGAAAACTGAGACCCACATACATTGTTGTTTTTGTTGTTGTTATTATTATTGAGCCATTTTTCAATTGTGTCCAACTCTTCATGACCCCATTTGGGGTTTTCTTGGTAAATATTCTGGAGTGGTTTTCCATTTTCTTCTCCAGCTCATTTTACAAATGAGGAAAGTGAGGCAAACAGAGGTAAGTAAATTGCCCAAGGTCACATAACTGGTAAATGTCTGAGGACAGATTTGAACTCATGAATATGAGTCTTCCTGACTTCAGGTCTGGTACTCTAGCTAATGAGGTATCTTTAGAGATTGATATTATCCAAGTGCTTTATTATATGAATGGGAAAACCAAGATTTAAAGAGGTAAAATTATTTTTTCCTCTGGCCACATAGGTAAAAAACAGAAAAATCAGATTTTATCACAGGCTTCTTACTATAAACTACAAACTCAGAGTTATTTTCATTTCACCATGCTGCCCTGTGTGGGAGCAAAATGGAAGAACTGGTGTGTCTGATCGTGTATTAAATCAAAGAGCTGATAAAGGTGTAATTTTGCAATAACTGAGTTGACCAATTCCATATACTAATACTTTAAAAAAAATACTGTTGTGTGGACACAGATTGAATATATAACTAGTGACATTAGCATTTGACAGAAAAAAAAAAGTTCTTGTGACATTTCAATTACTTATTTATGGTGATGAAATAACATAATCCATAACCCTGAATCAGAAATGGGTTGGTATGAAACACGTGATGTAGACTTTTATTATTTTCTTATCTTCATGAGTGTTGGGTTTATTGTGGCCTATTTTGCCAGGAAAATAGAAAACTAATCCCTCCAAATTAAAAAAAAATGCTTTTAAAAAATCATGTGAGCTATGGATTAGGGCTGTTCAGATTGCTCATTTAATAGAGTAGGAAGAATTCCAATGTAACCGACAAGCTTTATTTCTATTTTTTTTTTCTTGTTACAGATGGACCCAATTCAGAAAGCTGTAATAAACCATACATTTGGGGTTCCTCTTCCTCATCGAAGAAAGCAAATCATATCATGCAACATTTGCCAGTTGAGATTTAATTCTGATGTAAGTTTATCATTTGCTGTTCAGTATAAAAATTCATTGTATTTTTTAATCATAAAGGAGTAGAGCTTCCTTAAGCGTTCTCTCTCCCATAACTGAGCATGAAAAATTATATAGTGTTACTATATTGAAACTGTATTAATCCGTGGTGTGCCCTTTAGTTTGGAAGCCTGCTCATTTTTTGATAAGGAAAAACAGTGCATGCACTATGTTTTGTATGCATAACTTAGTGGTGCTTTAACATGATCACCTAGTGGGCACAGAAATGGTACACAGCCCAGGGCTACTTGGCATCTGGTCACATTCTCAGCTTCAGAGGCCCATTGGAGGCCCACTGACTTGAGCTGTGGGCAAGTTCTTCTTTGTGCAGGGTTAACCCTTGGCAAAATTGTGAAATTGATATTTTGTTTTGCTATCTTTACCCCCTTCAAGCATTCAATCTTATGTTTCCATCTTGGCGTTAGATTATTGTTAACTAATCCCCTGAGAACATGTATGACATTCCCCTTGTCTTGGCATAGTTGGCAAAGGGTGCTTTAAAAATTACTTTAAGGAATGAAATTTTCTTGAGAGAATTTGAGGCACAAGGGTTCCACAGAGGAGCCTTAGGGGTCTGAATACAGTATGAGAATTTCACTAATACAGTGCTTCAGATCCTCCCACTCCGGCAGGAGCATCCTTCATGCTACCATCACCTGCCAAGAATCCCGTCTACGTTTTCTATCTACGGTATTCTTATGTGGTTTTGAGTGTAAGGCTTGAATATCTCTAGTGTTGCTAATTCTGAATAAAGATGATGCTGGGAGCAATACATTTGTCTTCCTTTGGGGCAGGCAGCTTGGGCCTTGGAAGCTGTGCTGTCTGGGCAGCCAGGCAGGAAGTGAATAGAATCTGCATCCCCGTCTGATGAATTAAAGGAGTATAAAGCATGCACAACTGAATTATTCTCAAAACTGTCATTTCATTGCATGGAAAAATCAGTGATTTTATTGTTGCTGTTTTTGATGTCAATTGGCTGATTTGGTTTCATGCTGCACCTGCCTTGTAACATATCTGTATCTAGCCTTTCGTGTTTTCAGATTCTTTGTAGCCCTGACCCATGAGACTTCACTTGTATGAGAATTTTTTAAAAAAATCCTCTTCTTCATGCATTAGTACAATCTCTCAGTGAAGAGCTACTTTTAGAAAGTTCAGTTTTACTCTTTTAAAAATATGGCATGTGGGAAGATTTCCTCTTTGTTGATCTCATACAGAATGTGATCATTTTCAAGAACTTTTAAGAACAAAACATTCTGGTTACACTAGTATAGTACAGTGCAATGAACCCTGGCATGTGGGTTCAAATTTGGCTCCTAAAGGTGGGCTTAATGGAAAAGCAGTTAAGTTCCCAGGGCCTTAGTGCCTTCATTTGTACAACTCAAAGATTATCTTTCTATGTAGAAACTGCCATAGATCCAAAATCTTTATTGAATATTTAATAGGCAAATAAGAACCACTGTATTGGAGATATTGAACAGTTAGTTGGTTTTTAACTTCCACAAATTAAAAAAAAAAGCAGTAAACACAAATTACCAAGATCAATTAGGAAATTAGGTGCAAGCCCCCTATATAATGGAAATAGGATATGATGATTATTTCTTTCTCTTCTTATTTCTTCCCTCTCATTCTCCTCTTCTGTTCTGCTGCATCTGTTCTTCTCCCCATCCCCTTCCCCCTCCTTTTCCTTTCCCCCCCTCTACTTCCTCCTTTTCATTCCAACATTCTCCTTTCCCTACCACTCCTCTTCCTCCGTTTGGCCCTACTCCTTCTCCCCTCCTTTTCTTCCTTCTAAGTTCAAGTGGAAATAATCTAGGTACAAGTTGCTATCCCACTATGATGCTTTTATGTTTAACACTGTGAATTATTGCACAGGAAGAGAAATCAATGCCTTTTTTAAGGTGAATAAAAATATTAGGATGCAAGATTATCCTCCTCTGTAAATGCTCCAGCATATCAATGTCTTTCTTAAATCATAGTGACAAAATTGAGCTCAGTACCTCAACTGAGTTTTGATGAGGATTTTACCCCACATCCTCTGATTCCAAACCCAGTGTTCTTCATGCTATAAAACATTGCCTTTGCATATACAAATATTCATAGATATCCAAATAGATAACTCCCATTTAGATACATATACATACATGTACACATATGTGTGTATATGTAAGGAAAAAAAGCTGAGATTTTCTTTAAGGTGCTACCGGTCACTCCTTTTAAATGAAATTTTCAGCCCCCTGTGAAATAGATAAGTGACTTCTGCTACTGTCTAAGACTGTCCGGTTTATTTGGGGCCCCTGTCTCAGCTTGGTGAGTGTACCACACTCATTTGGCACAAATGCTATTTCTCCTTCAAAAGTAGTCCTTTGGCATAACCATTAGGCTTCATAAAAAGAACGCGGAACCCTGATGAGATGCCTTTGTATAGTTGGTGAGAATTACCTTGAGTTCAAAGGAGGCCAGCTCTTCAGAGTCTGCTGGTGACACAAGCTTCCCAGAGAGATGGAATACAATGAAATACGTCTTTTGAAGGGCAATGCATGCAGCAGAAAGGCACTATGTTCACCAGTGCTGCCAGTGCACCTCTTCTAGCACTGAGTTTGAGCTTTGGAAGTGACAGCTGGCAAAGGAAATCCACTGGATGGATCGTGGAAGAAAATGATGGTCCAAAACTCCCACGGATTTCAAGGTCCAAAGGAAAATCAGGTGGGCACAGAGAAATAATTGTGCCAGAAAACAGCAAAAGGATTCTTTTAAGAGAGATGTATCCTTTAGATGAGGAGTTCTTAATCTGTTGGGTTTTTTTTTTAATTTTGATAACCATCCATTTATACATTTAAAAATGTCATTCTGAGAAAGGATCCCCAGGTTTCACCAGACCACTAAAAGGGGTCCATGACCCATAATGCTTAATCGCCCCTGCTTAAAAGCTCTTTAAATGAAACTTCTAATAGTAGGACTGGGGTAATGATGGTAATAGGTTTAATGCAACCTTACACATATTCATTAAGCTCCTACTATATACAAGTATTTGGGGATATAAAGTCCAAAATAAAATATTCCTTACCCTCAAGAAGCTTACAATCTGCAGAAGGATCCTAAAAGGCCCATGATTGATCAGAGATTATTAGAAGTCTGGCCTGATTTTCTTCAAATGGAAATCAGTTAAGAGATATAAATTGTCCAAGCAGAAAATCAGTTATGTTAGGAGGATTAGTCTGAGAACCTGACTTGCTTAGGAGGGGCAGTTTTTGAACAGTTTACACGTCAAATTGTTAGAAAGATAAGCAGATAACTGAGTGAAGATTACCAAATTGTAGAATTTACTTCAGAGCTATAAATGACCTCTGCAGAGGTCATTCATAACTGGAAATAACCTTTACTAAATTAAATGCATTCAGTCTTTGCTTGAGGATCTCCAGGGACCAGAAACCTACTCTCTCCCAAGGTTAACACTTTGAGGCCATCCAAGTGTTAGGAAGTTTTGTGGTGGTGATGGCTGTGTTTTTGTTTTACCCCTTTCTTCTCTAAATTTGTCTCCAAATAAAGATGTCCAGGATGCAGTTGGTGATGCAGGGCTAGGGCTCAGGACAGAGATTACGTAGTGGGTAGAAGAAGGAAGCTTGGGCTGGACACAGGAGTATATAGACATATAAGGAATTGATTGGCCAACCAAGGGTTTTATATGTTCTCCAAAGGAGGAAGGGGAAGTTAACTACTCTATTGCCAGTTTTTGACACTGACTTCTAAGTAGGCTAAAGTATTGCAAATTATTGTGGCAATAAAATGGATATAGAGACAGACAATGCAGTCAAAACTGTCAACTTCACCAATGCGTATTTTGGAATGCCTGGGCCATTCTCATGACAGGATGAATTCATTTCCCTCAGCTGTTCCCTACCGAATCAGTAACACAGAAAAATGTTTTCAGGTGTGATTTGATTTCAAGGAAGTAACTTGATCCCCGAAAAGAATCTTGTGTTCAGGTCTGAGAAGCCTTGTTTCCTCTAGCAACATTTAAGATCTAGGATTTCTCAAAGGGCAGAAATAGAACCTCTATTTACATGTCTCTTCTATAGGAAGAGTTCAAAGTGCACAAATGGTCCCATTCCAAGCAAAGGAAGGGGATGTCAAAGAAAAACTTCTATTTTCAGAGCCATGAATGGTTTGTTTGCTGAAACATTCAAGATCCCCTAAGAAATTGCATGAGATACTGTTTTAATTTGAATTTAATTACTTTTTCTCTTTTATGTAATTATATACATATCTCAAACGAGCATTGGATGTTACTAAGATTATAAAAAAAAGTCCCCAAATCACTGGCATTATCTAAAAAATGTTGAGTATTGAAATGGAAAGGTACCTTTATATTACTGTCCCTGAAGACTTGACATTTCCTGTTAATGTTCAGTCATTGATTTTTTAAATTATTCTTATGAATGTTTTTTGTTTTTTACATCATTTCCATTTCCAAATATATCTACTGTACTCCCCTTTCCAGAGAAGTATCTCCTGCAACAAAGAATAGAAAGAGAAAAGACAAAACCTATTCATCAAAATTCACTAACGTGGCAGCCAGTTCTGATAGCATCTACTATCTGGTGACCATGGTCTGTCACCTATATAAAGAAGGAGGGGCATGGATTTTCTCCTGCCATATTCAGGACAAGCTTGATCTCAATAATTGTACACAGTTCAGATTTTATGTTGTACTGTTTTTTTCTGTTTATATTTCTAGTATGAAGTCACTGCTGTTGGGTGCACAGGGGCAGAGATATACATACTTCCCTCTCCTCTCTACAGTCATTATGGTTTCCACTAGATTCGTTGCTGGGGGAGCCTGCCTTTTAGTTAGGCAAAGTAGGTCCCCTCATTCACACACTCATGAGCTCATTAAAGCCTCCCACTCTGGTATCCTGAGGACTGTGTGACTTTCCATCATTAGTCTAGGTCATCCAAAAAGAGAG